CCCCCACTCAGTCCAGCGCCTCGTTGCCCCGTAGGAGCGCAACCGAATGTTCCAGTGTCCGCAGGCCGCATGCGCGCCTCCTCACACAATACAAAGCTTTGTGGCCCAATAGGGAACTCTACCGGAGACCCTAGTGGCGGTGTTCGCATGCTTCCCCCCCTCATTCGGTGCAGCGCTTCGTAGCCTCACAGGAGCCCCACCGAAGGCCCCAGTGGCGGTGTTCGCATGCGTCTCCCCCACCCGGTACAGCGCTTCGTGGCCCCATAGAGGGTTCCACCGAAGGTCCCACTGACCGCAGGCCGCATGCGCGTCTCCTAACAAAATACAGCGCTTCATGGCCCCATTGGGAGCTCCGCCGAAGGCCCTGTGGCGGGGTTCGCATGCGCCTGCCCCACCCAGTACAGCGCTTCGTGGCCACATAGGGAGTTCCACCGAAGGCCCCACTGGCTGTGACCACATGCGTCCCCGCCACCCAATTCGGCACACCCCTCACACGCTTCGTGGCCCCATAGGGAGCTCCACCGAGGAGGATACGCACCACTGCGGTACCCGCAACTGCATATGGCTGGGCCCTTCGCCAGGCCAATTGTGCGCCGCCCAGCGCAAGGTCAGGCATAAATGGTACAAGAAGCCGCCCCGCGTCTGCTGCTGTGGGAGCAGTAGGCCTCCCTCAGCCCCTGAGACGGCGAGGCGTGGCGCCGTTGGCCTCGCCTCCCACGCCAGCGCGCGTACGGCCCAGCTCCCGAGCGGGAGTGGCCCTGCGGAGGTTCTTCCCGCCGAGGGCGCAGGCCGCCGCTGCACCAGCGGCACGGGTGCTGCGGCGGACACCTTCAAGCCTGAGGGACCAAAGTTCTTCGGCGGAGCGAGGACCCCAGCGGTTCTTGGGGCCCGCTGGAGGCCTGCTCATCGAGCGAAGCTCCACACCACGCTTCATCTCCGTCCGATCGACACCACCAGCCATCCACATGTCACTTGTGAACGCCAGGCTCGTTGACGGCCATCACCTTCCCTTTGAGGGCGAACCCCTCCGCACTCGGCCAGCTGTGGGCCGCGGCCTACCTGGGAGATGATATGCTTATGGTACCAGCTGAAGCCACCTCACCACTGGAGTGCCAGTGCTTCAAGCTGTATCGCGTCGAGCTCGGGCACCTTGCCGCACAATACGAGGCCTTCATTGCACGCGCTCTGCTGCCCAACGATAATGTTCACTCGCATGGCCACGGACAACCGATATCAGTTTCCGTTTTTTCCTATTGTCTTGTCTTCATTTTGAAAAGACGGCGCCCCGCGTCTCATTCACCACTCCTTCCTCTTCCCCTTCCCGCCTCCCATCACCATCACCATCATCATTCGTACAATACAGCACTTCGCGGCCCCGTAGGGAGCTCCACCGAAGGGCCCAGTGACTGTGCTCGCGCATGGGTGTCCCCCATTCAATACAACGCTCCGTTGCCCCAGAGGGAGCTCCACCGAAGGCCCCAGTGGAGGTGTTCGCACGCGTCTCTCCCACTCAGTGCAGCGCTACGTGGCCCCATGAGGACCCCACCGAAGGCCCACGTGGCGGTGTTCGCACGCGTCCCCCCACCCAGTACAGCTTCTCGAGAAACGAAGTTCTGCCACGCAGGGCGCGCGGTGGGTGCAATCTGCTCCGCAGGGGCCGCGGCGTTCTCGGGCTCCTGCTGGGCCAGTACATTTGACCCATCACATTTGCGGAAGACGATCAATTCTTCATGCTCCCGTCTTTCCAGGACGGTCTTGGGCTACGTGAAGACTTTACTTGTCTCGCCACCAAAGCGGGTGATGCATGTGTCACTGAGAGCGCCCCGAGCTGCTCGCTGTCCTCGTTGATGCTTGTCGTCTGGTAGTAGACCCTCAAGAGGATGCTCATCTGCGCGACCGACACCGGATAAGCCAGGCGTCTGCGTCGGTGAAATTCTTCCGGTTTTCGTATGAATTGCGGCGCGTCTTCTTTCGTCGGCAATATTTGGCTTACTCCGCTCAGCAACACGGCCGTGTAGTGCGCGGAGCGCTTACTTTCCGTAGTCACTACTGATCACTACTGCGCGAGTCAATCACTGATTCCGAGAAGTTGAAATTGTTGCTTCCTGTTTCGCATTCTGGTCCGTCTGGGCCTTCTTCTCTTGTGTCCTGGCCTTCAGCTGCGCTGGGCAGCCTTTCAGTGCCGTGGTATAGGGCCGTTGCTCCTTTCCGTCTTCCACACCCTCGTTTCCAGCCGCTGGACTCGTGCGCCCCAGGCTCATCTGGGACGCACTCCGTGGCTGGCCCTCCGGGCCTGCCAAGCGTCCCAGTTCAGCAGCTCGGGCTGTCCAGCCGATCATTGCTCCACTGCTCTCCAAAATGACAGCGGTAGACCGTCTCCGCTCCCAACAGCATCATCAGTACTCGATCTTGTGCCCAGCTCCAGCCCCCCTCAGGCGATTGTCCTGGCTGGTCTATCGCCCCCCTCATTTCCCTTGTCGTGCTTCTCGGCCTCCACTTCCGCTCGTTCCCATCCCAGTGGCCTCAATCCTGTCGACATCTTTGTGCCTGCCGATGCACAGGTCGCGGCCCGATCTCCACTGCGCTGGGCCTTCGCCCCTTCGACCCTCAGGCCCATCCTTTCCGTGAGTCGCTCATCATCCGCCGCAGCGGTCCCGGGAGGTCGTTTCGGGTCGGCTTCTGGTCGGGGGCCCCAAAACGGGGTGGTGACCACACCGTGCGGTGAGTCGGTGGGGATCCGGGGTCACCGCACGGTTTTGGGACTCGAGGCCCTCTCCGAGGACATCTCGGGCGACGGGGGCCTCGGGGGTCCCAAGACCGTGCGGTGACGGACCGTGCGGTGAGGCCCCATGAGGTTCCGAGGTCACCACACGGTCTGTCACCGCACCGTTTCGGGACTCCAAATCTGGGGGGGGGCCCGCCCACGGTTCCAGCAGCGTGCGGATCTCCTGCACAGCGTGTACGGTCCTCGGGCGTCGGTGCTGCTTCCCAGGGGACAGCAGCCCCCGTCGGGTTTGGTTTCGGCGCCCTCGAGGCGAAAGACGGATCCCCAAGCGGCCCAGTTCTTCGTGTTAGGTTTCAAGGGCAAGATCCTTTCGTCTGTATACGGTCGCAACGTCGACAAATGTCCTTGAACAGCCGGATCAGTTGTCCAATAGTCAGTTGTCGCATTCGTATCGAACTTTTTTCTCAGAAACCACCCAAGTAAGCTCCAAGGGTCTTCGGGAACAGGCATTGTCCCAGCCCTTCACAGCGCTCGGTATCAAGTACCACGATCAATGGTGACGTCAAAAGTCCTCCTTACGTGCGCGAAGCGTGAAATCGCGCGTGCAAGCCACAGAGGCTTGAGCCAAAAATGGCAGTGGATGATGAGATCACAAATGACAGCAAGATCTACCATCACTCCAAAGGTAAACGTCCAGATGTGAGTTTCCTCCGGAAGGCACCTCGTGTTCGAATGCACAGATACACCTTGGGCCCCCCAGGCCCCCCTTGAGCCTTCCTGGGCACCCCGGGCTTCCCGTGGCTTCCACAGAACCCCCGGACCACCCCGGACTCCTTTGGTGCAGCTCCCTATGGGGCCACGAAATTCGTGAGGGTTTTGCCGAAATGAGGCGGCGCCGCCATGCGGACGGCGCCGCTGGGACCTTAGATGGAGCTCCCCATGGGGCCACGAAACGAGTGAAGGGTGTGCCGAAATGGTGCGGCGCCGCCATGCGGACGGCCCTGCTAGGCCCTGCCAGGACCTGAGGTGGAGCCTCCCTTACGGGGCCACGAAACGCGTGAGGGGTGTGCCGAAATGGTGCGGCGCCGCCATGCGGACGGTTCCATTGAGACTTCAGGTGGAGCTCCCTGTGGGGCCACGGAACGTCTGAGGGGTGTGCCAAAATGGGGCGGCGCCGCCATGCGGACGGCGCCGCTGGGACCTGAGGTGGAGCCTCCTTTATGGGGCAACGAAACGTCTGAGGGGTGTGCCAAAATGGGGCGGCGCCGCCGTGCGGACGGCGCCACTGAGACTTCAGGTGGAGCCCCCAATGGGGCCACGAAACGTGTGAAGGGTGTGCCGAAATGAGTCGGCGCCGCCATGCGGACGGCGCCACTGGGACCTCAGGTGGAGCTCCTTTTGGGGCCACGAAACGAGTGATGGGTGTGCCACAATGGGTGTCAACTATGGTGACGGTAACGGCGATGTTGATGACGATGATGGTGATGATGGCGATGATGGTAATGATGACGACCATGATGATACTGATGGTGATAGTGGTGACAACGATGACGATGGCGATGATGATGATGATGATGATGATGATGATGATTATGATGATGATGACGATGATGATGATGATGATGATGATGATGATGATGAGGAGGAGGAGGATGATGATGATGATAATGATGATGAGGGTGATGATGAGGGTGATGATGAGGGTGATGATGATGATGATGATGATGATGATGATGATGATGATGATGATGATGATGATGATGATGATGGAGGAGGGAGGAGGGGGAGGAATGGGAGGAGGGAGTGATGAGTGCGGAGTCGGACGCGGGGCGCTGTCTTTTCAAAACGAGGACCCAACACCACAGGATGGTTGGGAACAATTGGAGCGGCGGGAGGGGGGCAGTTTTCGGCGTCTGGGGGCCCTTGCTGGGCCTCGGGAGCGTCAAAAAAGGACTCGGGGCGAAAACTGGCCCTGGGGAAGTGGTCCCGACCTCCAGGGCCCAACCGTCGACAGAAATTAGAGCGGCCGGCTCCGTGCAGAAGCCGGCTCATGGCTACCAGTTCGGCTCCGAGCCACCATGCTTCCCCCTCCCCCTCCCCACGCCCTGGTCTCCCCTGCCTCCAGACGTCGACCCCTGCTTCCCTAGGACAGGTTTTCATCCTGGGTAGTTTCTGACGGGCCTGGGGCCTGGCGAGGACCCCGCGAGGCCGAAACAACAACAAAAATTGGCCGTCCTGAGTTTTGCCATGCCCCGAGGGGGTCTGGGCCCGGCAGGCTCCCTCCACCTATCCGCCCCGCACATCTACGCGAAGAGCCTCGAGTCCATGATGCCCATGCGGAGAGGCCGCGCTTGGGGGATCCGGGGGGGCGACCGCAGACGCCAGCGGAGCGCGCGCGGGAGCAGGAGAGCGGAGGTCCTTGGTGAGTCGGTCGGGGTGCTCCCCCTCCACCCCCGGGCCCCTCTCGACTGCAGAATAACACTTCTGATCTGCTGTGTCTCGGGTGCGAGCTGCGGTCAGGCTCCGATGGGACACCTGCGGAGCAAACTGGGACGCAGGCATGGGAAGGCAGAAGGGAAAAGGGGGGAGGGCAGCAGGACGGAGAGGGCCCCCTCAGAACGTGAAGCACTCCGGGTTGTGCTAGAGGCAGGCTCGCTTACTCGTCGCTGTCAATGCGAGATAAAGGTCAGGACCGCAGAGCCAGGGTGAGAAAGAAAGGTCATGCGTCGCGCAGGAGAAAATATCTGCCAGCATTGACTCCAAATAGATTAGACGACTCAAATCAAGGAATCAGAGGAATCAAGCATGCTTGGACTCCGCAACTCAGCAAGCAAGCAAGCGTGCAAGCAAGCGTGCAAGCAAGCAAGCGCGCCAGTAAGCAAGCAAGCAAGCAAGCAAGCAAGCAGACATAGGCATAGGCGTAGGCGCAGGCATAGGAGTTAGAGGGGAGGCATAGGCATAGCCATAGGAATTATGGGGAGCATCGGAATTAGGAGGGGGGGCAACGGACCAATTAGTAGGGTTTGAGCTAGGACTCCGATAGGGCAAGCCTATATAGAGAAAAACGACGGCCTGTTTTCGATGGCGTTCGGCCTCCGGGGACCATCGCAAGGCCTTCGGACCGTCAACTAGCTTCGCGAAGGACCCAACCATATGCAGTTGTGAATACCGCAGTTATGGGCGTCGTCTTTGGTGGAGCTCCCCATGGGCCACGACACGATGCACTGCGTGGGGGAGACGCATGCGAACTTTGCCATTGGGGCCTTCGGTGGAGCTTCTTATGGGCCACGAAACGCTGTACTGGAAGGGGGAGACGCATGCAAACTTTGCCAATGGGGCCTCTGGTGGAACTCCTCGCGGGCCACGAAACGCTGAAATGGGTGGGGGAGACGCATGCGAACTTTGCCACTGGGGCCGTCGGTGGAGCTCCCTACGGGGCCACGAAGCGGTGTACTGGGCATGGAAAACGCATGTGAACTGTGCCACTGGGGCATTTGGTGGGGCGCCCTCTGGGGCCACGAAGCGTTGTATTGGGTGGAGGAGACGCATGTGGACGGTGCCACTGAGTGCTTCGGCGGAGCTCCGTATGGGGCCACGAAACGCGGTGGGGGAGACGCATGCCGACGGTGCCATTGGCGCCGCTGGTAGAACTCCCCATGGGGCCACGACACGCTGTACTGGGTGGGGGACACGCATGCGGGCGGTAGCACTGGCACCTTCGGTGGAGTTCCTTACGGAGCCACGAAACGCTGTACTGGATGGGAGGGCGCATGCGTGCGGTAGCACTGGGACCTTCGGTGGAGCTCCTTGTGGGGCCTCTAAGCGTTGTACCCAGTGGGGGGAAACGCTTGCGGACGGTGCCACTGCCACCGTCGGTGGAGCTGTTCATGGGGCTGCGAAGCGCTGTACTGGGTGGAGGGGGGCGCATGTGGGCTGTAGCACTGGGGCCTTCGGTGGAGCTCCTTGTGGGGGCACCAATACTGGGTGGGGGGGAACGCACGCGGGCGGTAGATCTGGGGCCGTCGATGGAGCTCCACGAAACGCTGTACTGGGTGGGGGTGATGCATGCGGGCGGTAGCACTGCGACCTTCGTTGGAGCTCCGTATGGGGGCACGAAATGTTGTACTGTGCGGTGGAAACGCATGCGGACGGTGCCACTGGCGCCGTTGGTGGAACTACTCCCCATGGGGCCACGACGCGCTGTACTGGGTAGGGGGGGCGCATGCGGGCGGTAGCATTGGCACCTTCCGGTAGAGCTTCCCGTGGGGCCACGAAACGCTGTATTGGGCGGCGGGGGGCATGCGGGCGGTAGCACTGGGACCTTCGGTGGAGCTCCTTATGGGGCCAAGAAACGTTATACTGGGTAGGGGGGACGCATGCGGGCGGTAGCACTGATGCCGTCGGTGGAGTTCCCTGTGGGGCCACGACACGCTGTACTGAGTGGCGGGGACGCGGGCGGTTGCATGGGGGCCTTCGGTAGAGCTCCCTATGAGGCCACGATGCGCTGTATTGGGCGGGGGGACGCATGCGGGCGGTAGCACTGGGGCCGTCGGTTGAGCTCCCTGTGGAGCCACGAGTCGTTGTAATGGGGGACGCATGTGGGCGGTAGCACTAGGACGCTCGGTGGAGCTCCCTGTGGGGCCACGAAACGCTGTGCTGGGACGGGGGGCGCATGCGGGTGGTAGCTTTTGTGCCTTCGTTGGAGCTCTTTTTGGGGCAACGAAACGTGTACTGGATGCAAGAGATGAGAGGAGCGGGAGGAGGGAGTAGGAACGCGGCACGTTGTCTCTTCAAAACGAGGAAGGACGGAGGAAGGAAGGATGAAGGAGGAACGCGGGGCCCTTGCTCTTCAAAACGAGGACCCAACACCACAGGATGATTTGGAAACATGACTCAGGACGAAAAAACGAGCCCGCGGATGTGGTCCAGACTTATTGGGCTCCACGTTAGAAAAATCACGGCCCTTGTTGGCGCCAACCCCGCACGGCCGCAGCAAACTGCTGTGCATCGACTGGGGCGTTCCTCATGCACCTCCACCTCTTCGCTCAGTGGCAGCGGCAGGGGGGACTGGGCTGCAAGGGGGGAATCATCGGCCCTTGCTCGAGGAAGGAGACAAAACCGCACACGCATAAACAATCGGAGGTCCGAGCGGATTTCTCGGATCGCCGATGGGTTCCCCCGGCGACGCTTCTGTCGCCGCCCCTGGCGCGCTCCGCGCGCCAAAGACAGGGGCCAGCGAAGATCCAAGAAATTCACGCAGGCCTCTGGAAGCTTGCGTGTATGATGCTCAGTGTTAGTAATACTTGTTGGTGCCACTACTCTTCACATCACTGAGCTATGGTCGAGCATCTGATTCAGAAACCTCCCCCCGAAGAGCTGGGCCAGCGTTTCTTAGCCAGCTTGCCGAACAGCTGGCCCGGTTTCTTCAGTTCCTTCGCCCTGCTTGCGTTAACAGAACACGTCGCCCAGGTAAGAGACTTGAGGAAAGTTGTCCCAGGTTTCTTAAGTCATAATTGTCTTAATCCGATGTCCGGCTGTTGTATATATCTGCTCATTTCCCAAACCGTTCTGCATTTAGGGGTTCTGACTTCTCTTCTCAGGAATTGGGACTGTCGGTGCAGCGGCGATGTTGCCGCCGTCACCGCCCCGTCACCGCCTCGTCGCCGCCCGTCGTTTGGGCCTATCTGTCGGTCGCCGCGTTTGTTGCCGCCGTCGCCGCCCCGTCGCCGCCTCGTCGCCGCCCGTCGTCTGGGCCTGCCTGTCGGTAGCCGCGCTTGTTGCCGCCATCGCCGCCCCGTCGCCGCCTCGTCGCCGCCCGTCGTCTGGGCCTGCCTGTCGGTCGCCGCGCTTGTTGCCGCTGTCGCCGCCCCACATAGACTGCACATAATGAATTACACAACAGAAGCTGCACAATACAAAAGTTCCTTTCTAAAAGAGAACAGGATCTACCCCCCCTGTCCCCAGGTTTGTTCCGCCCACCCCCTCCGTTGGGAATGTTCAAGTCTAGACGCTTCGCGTAACCCCTCCAGCCCATCCAGAAACGATGCCCAGACGAGTTGCCTTGATCAGGGATGTGGAGGAGTACGCATTGGACTAAAAGGCTGGGCCAGACGTCATTCCCCAAGAGGGGGCGGATGGAGGAGGGGTCGGAGGAGGAGCAGGAGGAGGAGCAGGAGGAGGAGGAGGAGGACGAGGACGAGGACGAAGGCGAGGAGGAGGAGGAGGTAGATGGGGAGGAGGGGGGGGGGGGGAAGGAAGGAGCAGGAGGAATACGCGGATGAGGAAGAGGAGAAGGAGGAGGAGGAAGAGGAGGGGGAGGGCGAGCAGAAAGGCCAGAGACATGTTGGATGCTTCGCGGAGTCGCTGCGGAGATGCTTTTGGAGTGATGTTTGGAGGCTTCGTGGGGCGTTTTGGGGGACTCGTGGCAGTCCCAGGGGCGTCTTGGTCTTGGGTGCCTCTAGGGGAGCCTGGGGGCATCTTGGGGGCCTCTTGGGGGCCTCTTGGGGCCTCCTGGGCATATGTTGGGGCAGTCGTGAGACATCTTTGGGGGCCTCGGGGGCCATCGTTGGGCCATCTTGGAGGCGATCGATCAGATAAGGGGGGGGTCTAATTCGCCCCCCACCTCCCACACACACACACACACACACACACAGGAGGCAAAAATGCAGTCAAAACCGTCGTAAAATACATGAGCTTGACTTTCTCGCCGATGACTCTTGGGGCGTCGTGGGTGTTTCTGGGGGCATGTTGAGGCCTCTTGGGAGTATCGTGTGGGCCTCTTGGGGGCCTCGTGGGGGGGGGCAGTTTAGGGCCTTTCGGGCACCTCTTGGGACCGCCTTGGGGTACCCTTGAGAGCCTCGGGAGGATGGGGGGGGGCATCTTGAGACCACCGTGGAGGAGATCGATCAAAGCAAGGGGGTGCCTTTCATGTTGGGCCCTCCCCCTCACCGCCCCCCCCACAGGAGGTCACAATGCGGCCAAAACCTTCAAAGACTCAATGAGTTTGGCCTCCTCGCCGAGGCCTTTTGGAGCGTGTTGGGTGTCTCTGGTGGGCCTCTTGGGGCGTCTAGGAGGTTTTTTCGAGAGCATGGTAGGTGGCACGTTGGGGGCATATTGGGTGCCCCTTGGGGCCTCATGGACACCTCTTGGGGCCATCTTGGGGCACCATTGGGAGCCTTGGGGGGCCATCGTTAGGCCAACTTGGAGGTGATCTACCAAAGGATTGAAGCTCCCTAAGTTGGCCCCGCCAGCCCTCTGCAACCAACAACGATACGACGTGCACACGCGCGTCGTCGCGTGCTTGCCATCAAAGTCGAATGTCCCGAAATATACTAAAACTGATGATTGTGCAACATGGCGTTTCAAGAAAGATCGCACACGCGCTCATGCTAATTCTTAAGGTAGCCATAGGTGGTCCCACAGATTCACCAAATTCGGCCAAACATGCATCCCGCGCGCACATGTAGACATCATTCGATAGCCCTTTGCGCGCGTGCTGGGGGGGTACGATCCCTTCCAAATAATACAATGCGGACCACTCGCGCCCGTCGGCCGCGCTCGTTTGTCGAAATCTTTCCAAAACCTGCATCACCGACATGTGGAGACCGTCATCTTCACCCGCGTGATCATCATCGACGCCATCATTGGCCGTGCCGTCGCCACTGTCATCGTCGTCACAAGCACCGCCATTAGCATCATCGTGTCTGCCGTTATCGACGTCGCCATGATACCGCGCCCCCCCGAGCCACCGATTCGCACTGAAGTGTCCTAGCGTCAGCGCGGCTTGCTGCGAGAAGTTTTGGGAAGTGCCCAGCGGCCAGCGCCACCACGACAGCTCTGGCCGCGCCAGACTAGCCGACCGCTCTGCACGCGAACTTGCGCGCGCTAGCGCGGCCGCAGCGGTGCGCCAGCCAGCGCCAAGCAGTCATCGCAATCGCCGCCGCATGTGTTTTGCAAGCCAAATTGCGGATAGGCGGGTGATTATGGAGGCAGTGGAGTTGTCAATTGCAAGTTCGGCAGCGGGAATTACACAACAGTGGTTGCACCGCATAGATAACGCACCACATTGGTCAAACAACATTGTGTGCGCCACATAGGTTGCACAGTATGTGTTGCACCGCATACATTGCACTACATAGTGTGTGTCTGTGTGTGTGGCCAGTTGTGGCCGTGTGTGGCAATGTGTGTCCGTGTGTGTCCGTGTGTGTCCGTGTGTGGCCGTGTGTGGCCGCGTGTGTCCGTGTGTGTGTCCGTGTGTGCCGTGTGTGTGTGTGTGTGTGTCCGTGTGTGTATCCGTGTGTGTGTGTGTGTGTCCGCGTGTGCGTCCGTGTGTGTATGTGTGTCTGCGTGTGTCTCTGTGTGCGTGTCTCTGTGTGTGCCTCTGTGTGTGTCTGTGTGTCTGTGTGTGTGTCTCTGTATGTATATATGTGTGTCTGTGTGTGTGTCCGTGTGTGTGTGTTGTGTGTCTGTGTGTGTCTGTGCGTGTCTGTGCGTGTCTGTGTGTGTCTGTGTGTATATATATGTGTGTGTGTGTGTCTGTGTGTGCCTGTGTGTGTCTGTGTGTGCCTGTGTGTGTGCCTGTGTGTATGTTGTGTGTGTCTGTGTGTGTGTCGGTGTATGTTGTGTGTGGTGTGTCTGTTGTGTGCGTGTGTTGTTTGTTGTGTGTGTCTGCGTGTGTCTGCGTGTGTCTGTGTGTGTGTGTCTGTGTGTGTTGTGTGTGTTGTGTCTGCTGTGTGTGTGTTGTTTATTTAATCGCTTCGCTCATTCCGCCGGCCCTCGAGCGCTCTATGGGGCCTCTTTGAAGCCTCTTAGGGGCCTCTTTGGGGCCTCCTAGGGGCCTCTTGGGGGCCTCTTGGGGGTCTCTTGGGGCTCCTTGGCGGCGTCTTGGGCCCCCCTTGGGCCTCTTGGGTGGCTCTTGGGGGCCTCTTGGGGCGGGGTAGTCGAGTGCACCCCCCTCGGAGGCCACGATCCTCGTGAGGGGTGTCGAAAAAAGGCCCTCAAAACCATCTCTGATCCGACCCTGCCGGGGATCGCCCGGGGTACTTTTCGCCGGGGGACCCCCAGGGGCCGCCCCGCGCGCGCGAACTAGAAGTATGATTTAGCAGTTACCGGAGATCTTAGCACGCCTCTGGCCCGTTGGGCCGGCGAATTGTGTGGTATGTATGGTATGTGTGGTGTCTGTGTGAGGTTTGAGTGGTGTGTGTGTGGTGTGTGTGTGTGGTGTGTGTGTGTGGTGTGTGTGTGGTGTGTCTTGTGTTTTGTGTGTTGTGTGCTTTGTATGTGTTGTGTGTGTTGTGTGTTGTTTGTTGTGTAGGGTGTGTGTGTGTGGTGTGTGTGGTGTGTGTGGTGCGTGTGTGTTGTGTGTTGTGTGTGTTGTGTGTCGTGTGTCGTGTGTGTTGTGTGTGTTGTGTGTGTTGTGTGTGTGTGTGTTGCGTGTGGCTTGTGTGTGGTGTGTGTGGTGTGTGTGGTGTGTGTGGTGTGTGTGTTGTGTGGTGTGTGTTGCATGTTATGTGTGTTGTGTGTGCTGTGTGTGCGTGCGTGCGTGCATGCGTGCGTGCATGCGTGCGTGTGTGCGTGCTTGCGTGCTCGTGTGCGTGGGTGTGTGTGCGTGTGTGTGTGTGTGTTGTTTTTACAGGCGCGCGAAACATGCGAAGGGTGCGCCCATGTGGGGGCAGCGCCGCCACGCGGCCGCACCAACTGAAACCTTGGGCGACGCTCCCCTTGAGGCCAAGAAAGGGGCGTGCCCAGTTGCAGGCAGCGCCGATATGCGGTCGCGCCCACTGGGATCGTAGTTCGAAATTTCTCGAAGGGCGCGATGCGTGTGAGGGGTGTGCCGACATGGGCGCGGCGCCGCCATGCGGTCGCGCCCACTGAAACCGTACGTGGGGCACCTTACGAGCCACGAAAATTTAAGGGCTGTGTCGACATGGGGGCGGGTACGCCATATGATCGCGCCTGCTGATACCGTATGAGGAGTTTCTCGAGGATAACGAAGCATGTGAGGGGTGTGCCGAATTGGAGTGGGTACGCCATGCGGTCGCGCCAACTGAGACATGCATCCTGTAACGTGTGAGGCGTGTGCCGTGCTGGGTGCGGGTACACCATGCAGTCGCGCCCTCTGAAACCGTAGGTGGCGCTTTCTCTGGAGCCACGAAACGGGTGAGGAGTGCTCCGCATTGGAGATTGTTTTTGGGCCTTCTGGGCCATAACGCGCGTTCTGCCCCCTACCCTCCGCCCCCCCCCTCCCCCCCCATAGCGTAACGCTCCCCCCCTCAGTGCGCCCCCGACACTGCCGCAGTGCGTCCGGCACCGCAGTCTCTGGGGGAGGGCGCTACGTCATGCCCCCTCCTGCCCCCCCCCCCTGCCCCGCCATAACGCCCGCTATGGCCGCGAATAAGAAAATGCGCTCCCGGGCGAAGGCACGTCATGCGGTCGCGCCCGCTGAGACCGTGGGTGGAGCTCCTTATGGTGCCACGAGCCGTGTGAGGGGTGTGCCAATTGGGATGCGCGTGCGCCAGTCGGTCGCGCCCACCGAGGCCGCAGGTGGAGCTCAACGTGGGGCCACGAGGCGTGCGAGGGCCACAGACGGGTTAACGGCGATGCAGGTAACGGCGATGTACAGAAGCATGCCAAGGAACACCCTGCTTGCCTCCAGTGTGCCCTGGGTTTCTTGGGCGTCGGTGGTTTTGCTATGGAGAGCGTGAGGTCCCCATACGAAAAATCGATGGACGTCCTGGGGTCTCAGGGCTGGGGTTCTCGTGCAAAGTTTCTCGTGGCCGGGCCCCTGCTGTAGGTTTCGGTCTTGCGGGAGCGCGTTGCTCGCGCTCTCCTGCCATTCGCTGTGCCGTCTCCGTTCGACACGCTCGCACAGTGGAAGTGTAGGAAAGCGTGGCTCGTGATGTCCTGCAGTGTGGTCGCAGCATCACAGTGAAGCAACATCGCCGTCAGCGTGGCCTTGGGATGGGGATGTCGAGATGGCCGAGGGGGGCAGGGAGGGGCGACGCCCCCCCTGCCCCCCTCCGGCACAGGCTTAGAGTTCCTCTAGATGCCTGGCGTAAGCCATGGAGGGCCTCTCGAGAAGACGCCCTCGCGACCACCCGCCAGACGGCCACGAGGGAGGCAGAGGCGGCAGGAAGGGGGGGGAGGACGGACGCGGGAGGCTCCTCCTCCTCCTCCTCCTCCTCCTCCTCCTCCTCCTCCTCCTCCTTCTCCTCCTCCTCCTCCCCCTCCTCCTCGATACGAGGGCCCAACAGCACAGGGCAGCTGGGAGGTGTAGGTCTCCGGAGGTGCGCGCAGATCTCTCGGGCGTCGGCGGGCCCCCCTGAGCGGCGCCTCCGGCGCGCCGCCCCTCGCTCGCTCCTCGCGCCAGGGAGGGGCCGGCTCCGGACCAGCGCGGGGAAGCTCGGAGGCGGGAGCACAGAGGCTCGGGGCCTCCGGCGGAGGCCGAGGTGCAGCCCCCAAGGCGCCTCGGCAAGAGAGGGCGTCGAGAGAGAGGGCGTCGAGAGAGAGAGAGTGAGGGCGGCAAAAAAATAACATATTGGGCGAAGAGAGGAGCACGTCGAGAGCGTCCTCTGCCCTCTTCGCCGTTCCTGCCTGACTGGGCTGCAGATGGTGGTCTGGGCGGCGTTGGGGTCAGAGTGGGGGGCCTGATTGGGGCAGGCTGTCTCTGGAGCGGTGCCGACCTGGGCGCGAGCAGTCGTTCGGCGTTTTCCTCTGCCCGACGACACGCAGGGTCTCACGCGCGTCTCTCGGTGTTGCCCTGGCCACTCTTTGATTCCTCGGCTCTTCCTTTTCCCGCGCCCCTCCACTCTCTGTCCCTCCCTCCCTCCTTCCCCCTTCTCTCTCTCTCTCTCTCTCTCTCTCTCCCTCTCCCCCCCTCTCTCTCTGTCTCTCGCTCTCTCTCTCTTGCCGTCTTTCCTTGTGCCTCATGGTGCCTGCATCTTCTTGGCAGCAGCGGCTACTGGGCACGATGGCCGCCTGCCTCAGCAGGGTGCCCAGGCATGTCGTTCCTGAACGTCGGCTCTGGCACCGGCTACTTCAACTCGGTCGTCTCCGAGCTCACCGGCAGCGCGGCCACGAACCACGGGGTCGACATCCATCCCGAGACGGTGGCGCACGCCAACGGTTGCTGCCAGCGGTTGGGGGCAGGGACGGCCCATCTGAAAAAAGACAACAAAAAAACATGAAACTGAAAAAAAACGGCATGAGCTCCGTACAGATCTCTTGGATCGGCGTTGGGCCCCCTGGCGGCGCCTCCAGTGCCGCCCCTGCCGCGCTCCGCGCGCCAGGGAGGGGGGTCCGGCACAGATCCAAGAAATACGCGCGCACTTTTAAATCAGGCGTGCCCCTCTACTGGAGGAATATTCAAAAACACTTTTTAAAAGACATAGTCTCGGGACGATCCTTCGACCATCTTTTCACTCTTCTGGGGCATTTGTCGATTATGTTTTATCTGTCTTTCAAAATCCGCCTGCAGGAGGACATGCCCGACCTAAGCGTACCTCTGGAAGTTGACGTTTGTGCAGACAGTGGAGGCGCGCATCAAGAAACCAGGTGCTTTTCGTCAGGGTGCCCTGTGTTTCTTCGTTCTGCGCGCTGCGCGGTGACTTCCCGCGGCCGTCGAAGAAGTTGCTGCGTTCAGGATGCTCCAGGTTTTCCCCCCTTGTGCATCTGGCGCGCGGGGTTTCAGGGCCGGGTTTCTTGTGAGGGTTTCTTGCGGCCGCGTAGGAGGAGGAGGAGGAGCAGGAGGAGGAGGAGGAGGAGGAGGAGGAGGGGGAGGAGGAGGAGGGGCAGGAGGAGGAGGAGGAGGAGGGGGAGGAGCAGGAGGAAGGAAGGAGGAGGATGATCCCCGAACCACACCGAACCTCCCAGCGATTCCTCTGGGGGCCCCTTCCCCGGCAGGGCCTCTCGCCTCCGAGCGGGCCGGAGGAGGCGTCGGCGCCCCTCCACCGGCGGAAGGCCGGCGGAGGGCGGCGGAAGTAGGGCGAGGACGGCGCCGCCGGCGGAGGCCGGCGGAGGGAAATTCCCCCACCCGCCCCAGGAGGTGCGAAGGTTTTGAGGGTTCGGGGTTTCTCCCCCTCCTCCTCCCTCCCTCCTCCTCCTCCTCCTCCTCCTCCTCCTCCTCCTCCTCCTCCTCCTCCTCCTCTGACTGTCGCATCTTGGAGCGTCTTGGGAGGCAACTACAAATGGTGCCTATTGTGCGCCGTTGGGATCACTGGCCGCTGCAAGTGTCTGTCAAATACATCTTGAGCTTCCCGCACAACCGCACCCCCAAGACTGAACTCTGGGACATGGACAGGCTCGTCGAAGGGGCGTCCGATGGGCTTTGGAGGCAGCGTTTCCTTGAGGAGGTTGAGCAGCTCTGTTTTCGGAAGTTTCCTGAGTGGTCTAAGCTTGAGGCCCAAGCTGTACCTGATCGAGCTTGGGAGCAATTTGTCTTGGATATCCGTAAAATCGCCCTGAGTTGCTTTGCACGTTATACTGAACCTGATGCTGTCTATGCTGCTGCACGGGATGAGCAAAGAACGCTACTAAAACAACGGTTCCAACTTCGTGCCCAGCTTGCCGAACTCATGTCGGCTGCCCCCATCATTGCCTATCCTGAAGCTTTCTCGGAGCTCAATCGTATTCAGCAGAGACTATTCGCCGTCACCAAAGATATCAAAGCCAAACGGGACCAAAATCGTCATTATCGTGTTGAATCCTTGGCAGCCCAGATTTATGATGCGTGGAAAGAACATAGAGGGTCCCTGGTGCATCGCTTATGTCGACGACTCGCTTGTACTACAGTAGGCCCTGGACGACGGTTTTTCAACAACCCAGTCAGTCATCGACCTACACGTGCGATGTGGGGTGATTTTTTAGGGCAAGCAGGACACTGTGGGGGACAGAGCGCTACTATGGTGGACGTCTCCCAGCTCCCTGAGGCTAGACATGATGTTGGCACAGGCTATCGGTTCTACTCCCCTGGATTCAAAGACGAAGTTGAAACCGACCTCCGCGGCATCAGAAGTGCCCTTATTACTATGCAATATCGCAAGAGTACCCCACCATGGAGTTTGCCGCTGGAGGTGTTCCGTATGATCTTACTCCCCACCCATCGCAATCATCGGAAGTTTAGTGAAGATGAGCGCGATCAGTTTGAGGCGTCGCTCCCTACCATGAACTGGCTCACACGACGGATACGAGGTATTATGTGGGATGTACGCGGCAGTGCGCACCTCCCTCTCGACTGGCATCGCTCCTGGGGCTGCTGCATACCCAAGCCAACTACTGCTACTGGGCTTAAATCACTCAGGATGGTGCATCGGATGTGCCCTTTTAGCAAGACCTATTCCAAATATCTCGGACATCGTGCTGACGAATGCCACCCTGAACGACAACATGCCGACTACCTTCATGGAGGACTTCGCAACCGTCGACGGGAGGGTGCCATCAAGATTCAACTTATCGCTGCCTGGCGACTTCAAAGGCTACAAAAATCACATTGTACGATCTTCTATGACCAGACGAACGCCTTCGGCAGCCTCATTACTGATGTTTTTGATGACACTGACGCCATTCACATGAACCCTGATGATCTGTTCGTTGGCCAACATTGTAATCATAATTGTAGTGTTTCTTTTGATTGTGCAGATGGCATGGGACATTATCGAATAGGCCAAGGTGTCCTCCAGGGACATCAATCGGCCCCAGTGAAGTACATTCGCAGCTTTGATCGCACCGTGCTCCAACCATGGATCGCGGAGCGCACTGAATGTGATGGCGGCAAGGATCTCATGCGCACCAGCCCTCTCAACGCCATTGACACATTCACCGTCAATCTTGCCACGACTGTTTTTTTGGATGACACGGCGCACAAGATTACAGGCTTGACTGCTGCCAACCTCACAGCCAAAGTAGTTGCAGCATCTACGAGTTTTGCAAGCTATTTACAGCAGGTTGGGGGCGCTCTGAATGTAGGCAAGCAAGTTACGGTTCCGAAGTTTGTGGGTGGAAGAGCTAACCAGCAATCGAGGCAGTTCACGAACCCCACTTCGTCGCTTCCTGGTCGAATCGCCGTTCATGCTACGTACCTTGGGGTCCAATACCATGGCAATGGCACTACCGCGCAACAACGCCAGCACATCCAAAAAAATATGCGCAAGGCTTGGTACTCCATGGGACGTTTCTGGTTTACGAATCGGGTTCCACGTCGAATTCAATTACTTGTCTTCCAAGCTAGAGTTCAATCTGCGGGGCTAAGTGGATTAGAAGCTTTCATATTGATTAATAGCGACTACAACATGATTGACAGTCTACTACTACAACGGGGACGCATACTACTTAAAGGTGATGCAGTAACCAAGCACCACAATCCCGATGGTAGTATTAAACACGTTTCTCTGCCTACTCAGAAGATCTGGACACGTCTAGGACTTGCGCCCGCTTCGCTTGAATTGAGAATTCGCCGTCTTCGATGGCTTCAGCAACTTGCGAACCATCGAGCCGACAATCGTCAGCTGCTCGCCGCTATGTTTGGCCAGATGACTGGCGAAGCTGAGCCCACTCTCCGAGACTGGCTCCTTGTACGCAATGCCGCAGGACAGTTTCAAGGCAACCCGTGGGCTCTCCAGGTGTTGAACGATTTAAAAATGTTGACACTCTTGGATAGTGGTGCGGAGCTCTCGCAGGCCATGGGGGGCATTCACTTCAGAATCTTCCAGGAGGAGTTCGCCCCCAGGTTCAAAAAGATCAATTTCCAGAGGCTTCGGGGGCTCTACTGGGAGAACATGATAGATGAGTTTGGGCGTCGACGGGTTCCTACTGCTAATGCCGCTGCTGCAGCTGGAGGAGAAGGAGGAGGAGGTGCCGATGCCAATGCCGATCCCGACCCCGCCCCCCCACTGGCCCCAAAAACGTGGATTTGCCAAGAGACTCTGGATAACGGGACCGTCTGTGGGCTCGAATTTACTGAACAACAGGGGTGGTCCGCTCATAGGAGATTTTGTCGTGAGGGGGAGTCATGGGGATGGAGCTTTATCACAAATTTTAACAGTAACAAACCAGTGTCCATGGCGCATGTCCACTCATTCAACACATGCTATTTCACGGCAACATGTACGTCGACTTTTCCAGAATAAGATATGTCATTGTGATCGTAGCCTTGCACATCATCCTATCGTGGAACCGTACTCATTTGAATGTCCAGCCTGTGGTCGTGATCACCCGACACTTACAGCACTTCAGATACATATACGTTCACACGTTGATCTTTCTGAAGCTGTTCTCTCTTTTGCAGTTGACGCATCAACGCACCATGGCGGCTTGGAACCTTCCGATGGACTCGACGGAGCTCGAGACTTCCAAGAAGAGATTGGCAGATCCCTCTCAGATGAGCTTCTTCTCAGGTGGCGGACTCGGAAAGAGGCAAGACAGCCCAGGCATGCCGCCGCTGGTGCATCTCAGTCGGCAGACTCCAGGAAGGACACTCCGATGGTGGCGCTGGACGACGACGACAGCGAGGACGAGACGGCGCAGGCGGTGATGAAGGGCTACTTGAATGTCGCCCAGAGGACGAGGGCGCTGGAGGGATCGGTCCTGACGACGCATCTGGTTCCGAGCGAGTGCACGATCAACCCTCCAGCCGTGGCAGCAGCAACCAAGTACGTCGAGACGGCACAGGGCGATCCCGACCACAAGATGGGGCCCCCCAGTGTATGCGTGGCGATGGCCGTACTGACCACGATCGCCAGCCACACGTCGTTGCAGTCGAACTCCCAGCTGGCAGACAGCATCAAGGCCCTGAAGGGCCTCCTGGAGTGGATCAAGGGTCAGCCGATCGTCGTAGTCGCGGAATTCTTCAAGTACTGGAGGGCCAAGACGGCCTACGTGAAGGATGGGTCCCCGAAAATGGTCAGGCACACTTTCTTCATCAACAGTTGGGTGAGCGGCCCCAACGGAGTGCTTCTTCCCATGAATGCTGTGATTTCCACCCTTCTCCTCGGTCTGGGGAGCGTTGCGAAGATGGGTCCCCCCCCCCCAGGTCGAATCCAGAGCGTCGTGTCCAGAATTCCCTGGAGAAAATGCTCCGAGGGGCCCGACACAAGCGAGCGTGAATCTTATCGAGAATGAGCCTCGAGCGAATGCTGATTTTAGGAACGGACCCAACCCGTCCCACCCCGCCCCCGCTGTGCCGCCTCCTCCTCCTCCTTCTCCTCCTCCTCCTCGTCGGCCATCTGTTGGCGCCTCTGTGCATGTCCGCCACCGCGCTGCAGAGGGGGCGCTGGAGGATGGG